CCGACTTCCGGTTTTGAACATATGTATGTAACTTTGCGTTTTCAAAAAAAAAAACATTTCCCTCCATTTTAGAGGAGCCACCTTCTTTGTGGATTATGTATAGCACACTTAAATAGACTGCTATGAATTTCGAGCCAGTGGCGTCATTGATAAGCTGTTTTTCGGAAACGACATTGATGGAGCTCTCGCATATTTAGCAGACGCCACACACATTTTGTTCTTTTGCATTTCAACATCGACCTGCCCTTATTGAAAACCTCGCAAACTGGCAATACTATTGGACAATGTGAGTCCGAACAGGCAGCGGCTCGAGCAACCGACAAGTTTTGGAAAGTTTTTGAATTTCTCAGAAACATTCGTACTATTAAGGATATGTATTCTCTCATATAAACATGCTCATTAGGGTGGTCCTCCATTATATCAACATCTTAATTTTATTGGAGGAGATCCACCACAGCTTCAAAATTCTAAACAAATCTTAAGGGACCGCTACCTGGGCTTAAAAAATTAAAAATTTTTAAATTTCAAAAATTCTAAAAAATTTTATTGTAAGAATTTGGCCTAAATAATTTATTTTAAAATTTATCTGCCCTTTAAACACAGATTTTGTTTTCATAAAATTACGTTTGAAGGGCAGATAAATTTAAAATGCTACTTTAAAAACGGGCCTTAATCTAATAAATTTATCTTATTAAACTTATTCATATAAATTCAAAACTCGCTGAGTTTTAGCTGGTGAAAGTCAAAAATAATAATTGTTTTAGTCCTAGTCAAAATTTTCGTCGATTATTTTGTAGGTAGAATAAAAAAACATGTTGAAATTTTTAGGACCACCCTAATGTGTATGCACAAATATAACGACCACTTTGCGCGTGTTACGTGATTTCCAACGTTTAGCTCGCATGTGCTGCTGTTTATTTAACTTCCTTGTCCCTGTAGCCACAACCACTGCAGTTAATTCACAGGAGTCCCGCGATGACTCGCCACCGCCACAATTGTAGTATGTCACTTGCTTTGTGGTTGGTTGGCTGATCGATTGTTGGTGGCTTTTCTAAGGGCTAGGGGCATGTCAGGCATGGTATCGTATGGCGTTCGCTTTTTGTGCTTTTGTGGTGGCACCGCAATGTGTGCTAGTTTTTACCTCCACATATATGTATGTGTGTACATTAGACCGTACCATAAAAAAAGTTCGTCGTACAGACTCAGTGGTGCAGAGTCTAAAGTATTTTCGCAAGACGATTTCGATATTTTTTACCGAATGCGGGCCTGTTTACATTTTTCGTCATTCGTTGACAGTCGGATCGTAAATATCCAAAGCTCTTATCATCCTAGAGTACCACCCTAATCAGTAAATTAAAACGCACCAAAAATCATAAAAATTTTGCTAAGAAAGTATTTTGATTACTTCAGTAGAACCATGTATTTACAACAAATTTTTGTATTGCCGAATGTATGGTCATTAGGGTGATAAAAAAAGGAAAGTCGGAATGTTAATGCTCTCACCCTGTAGGATTTTTCTATACCGAAAAGAAATTATATCCGTTTTTTTATTTAAAAAAAAAAAAATATTTAGAGGTCGCCCAAAGCACTGAAAGTTTTCCATGTATTTTATAATAAATAATATAGAATTCTCGAAAGTTTATATTTCTCGATCGGAAAACTCTGTTTCTCTTCAGGAGACTTCCCACGATAATACCCAATTTTTTATTTAACCATTTTTTAAAATCAACTATTTTTTATAAGTCCCCTAAATTCCTAAAAAATTCAATGAAAGAAACTCATAAAAAATCGCTAGTATTAAAAAATGGCAAAATAAACAATTGGGTATTATTGGAAGTCTTTTGAAGAGGAACAAAGTTTTCCGATCGAAAAATATTGATTGAATTCTATACCATCACGAAAAATGTTTTTTTTTTATAAATATATAATACATGGAAAACTTTGAGCGCTGTAAGCGGGTATAATTTTTTCGGTATGAAAGAACAATCGTAGAGGTCTAGAGGTTCGGTGAAAAAAAAATCGAAATTGCCTTGCAAAAATACTTTCGACTCAGAAATGTACGGCAAACTTTTTTTGTTTGCTTGTAAGGTTGTACGGTCTAATGTTTATAAATACACATTAGGGTGCATTACACTTAATAAAAAAAAAAAATATGTATACAGTTTTTCCATCGGAATTATGCAATTTATTAGATTTTAAGACTTCCGTCATATTGTTTCGTAAAAATATTAAGATTTACGTGAGCTGAACCTATTTGAAAAAACCTTAATAAATCGAGTTTTTTATGAACAAAATTACGTTTTCAAGAATTTTTCCCAAGAAATTACCTAAGATGATACAAGAGAGGCTTAAGCTTAAAAGTTTTGCATACAATTTCTTTTAATTCTTTTTGAACGGAATCAAAATAATGAGATATTTTGAGGCACATACTTTCAAATCGACCCAACTAACATAAATCTTAATATTTTTCTGAAAAGTTTTGACCGAAGTCTTAAAATAAAACAAATTGTATAATTCCGTGGGAAAACCCACAAAGTTTTTTTAGTGATGCACCCTTATATACATATATATGTACGTGTATTAGTGCATACTTCATTTAAACGTTTTGCGGCCTTATTGTGCCGCCTGCAAAACCAAAAATTACATAACAATAAAATGTTGCGTGTGGTGGTGTCAAAGTTCGCCGATTGCCGGTTGAGTGGCAGGTGTTTTGATGGTTTCGTGTGCCCGAGTTTGATGACAATTCACAAAACTTCACGATTCACAGTAATACCATAAAACAATAAATAATTCATATGAATCACGCGTTTCGGGCGGACTTAACCTTTAATTTTGCGTGCAGTTTGGAAAAATTGAAGGTATTGACACAAAACTAACGGAATGCTGGTAAATTACAGTGACACGCTAACCAATTTCTACAATTCTTTTTCTATAGGAAAGGTGTTACATCCTCACAGGTGGTCCCATACAAATTTGATTTAAATCCAATCATTGGATCATGAAGAAATTAACCATAATCTGAAATTTTTATATGAGAATTGAAGTCGGTTTCGTTTTTTGCTTAAAAATTACTTGTTTCGATATCTCTTGGCTGAGCATACTGCTCTTATCTATGAAGAGAACTCTTAAATTATTCTCACTTTAAATTCTTACCAAACCATAACCTAACAAATCAACTTATATACATACATACTTCCTACTCCTCTTCCCATGCAGCTCCTCGACATGCTAAAATTCTACACCCGCTTCGAGATCAGCGATGTTACTGGCGATTCGCTTACCGATCACCAGATGACTCAGTTGCATTACAAAAAAATCACTTCACTACAACGTGCGGCGTTTGCAAAATTTCCCGATTTGCGCTTGTTCGCTCTATCCAATGTCGCAAATGTAGATACTCGTGAAGCGCTACACCGTCACTTTGGCGCACTCGATGCAAAGGCACTCAAAGAAATCGCTTCCTTTCTAAATTTAGTACCCGATACGCTCGAACCACCCTTTCAATGGCATCGACTCGATGACGAGTTTCTCAAGGAACTTTTGATTACACGTCACGAACGTCGTTGCTCACAGCTCGAGGCACTCAATGAAATGCCGCTCTATCCCACAGAGGATATCATTTGGGATGAGAATGTAGTGCCATCCGAATACTTTTCGGGTGACGGTTGTTTGGCGCTGCCGAAGTTAAATTTACAATTTCTCACCTTGCACGATTATCTGCTGCGCAATTTCAATCTTTTTCGCTTGGAGTCAACCTATGAGATACGGCAAGACATTGAAGATGCTGTAAGTCGCATGCTACCCTGGCAATCGGAGGATGGTGATGTTGTCTTTGGCGGCTGGGCGCGCATGGCGCTACCGATCGCCTCATTCGCTGTGGTTGAGGTGACGAAGCCGCACATCGGTGAGCGTAAACCTTCGCGTGTGCGCGCCGATGTCTCGGTGACTTTGTCGGTGCGTAAAGAGATTAAAGAGGAATGGGAAAATTTGCGTAAACATGATGTGTGCTTCTTAATAACGGTGCAGCCGACAAAGCCATATGGTGAGTACACCATCGTACGTAAGATGCGCAAAGTGCCAATTTAATTGATAAAGCACAAACTCTTTAAAGGTACGAAATACAATCCACGCGAACCCTTCATACCGCAGGTGGGCTTGGTTTACGTGCGTGGCTGTGAGGTGGAAGGCATGTTGGATGCCAATGGACGTGTCATTGAAGATGGCCCAGAGCCACGACCGCAATTGCCCGGCGAGCAACGCACCTATCGCGTTTGGTTGGACTCGAATCAATATCGATTGGATATGGACAGTTTGCAGGATGTGCGTAAAATAAACTCCATTGTTTTTTTTTTTTGTCACTAAAAATGATTTCACTTTTTAAAGGGTTCCGACGATGTATACGAGAGTTTCAATATTATAATGCGTCGCAAGCCAAAGGAGAACAACTTTAAAGCCGTACTGGAAACTATACGCCATCTGATGAATACTGAATGTGTTGTGCCGCCATGGTTACATGATTTGTTACTTGGCTATGGTGATCCGGGTGCAGCACACTATTCTCAGATGCCGAATCAGGAGCGCAGCTTAGATTTCAATGACACTTTCCTGAACTTCGACCATCTGAAGAGTAGCTTTCCTGGTTATGAAATAAAATGTGATGCGCCGATGGCACAGCGCATACCTCCATTCCGTTTGATATTTGAAGACGTGCCAGAAGAACGCGACGATGAGCCCGAAGACGAGGAGGAGGATGCGAAGATGAAGAGCGCATTAGAAAAGGCAATTGTTGTACAGCCATATGTGTTCGAAAGTCGTGGGCCGTATGTGGCAAATAAACCCAAGCAGTAAGTATGCAAAAATTAGTGAGGATAATGAAATAAAGATAAAGCTACATAGATAGTGGCAAAGTTAAACATATAGATAATGATAAACGTAAAGGTGAATATGCACATGAAGATGAATATAAAAATAAAGATAGAAAGGTGAAGATGAGGGTAAAGGTAACGATATAGCTTAAGATGAAGATAAAGAATTTTTTCTTTAAAGATAGAAGTAGAAATAGAGATAAGTAAATATAAATTTGAGAATGAGATAAAGATATAGATAAACGTAAAGGTGAACGTGAAGATACTAATAGAGATAATGGTATATATGAACATAAGGAGGAAGATAAAAATACTAACACGACAGGGCTGGTACAGATACAGATAATATTAAGATACATAAAAATTACGAAAAGATAAACTTTAACATTTATATAAGGCTAGATAAAAATATAAAGGCGATCAAGATAAAGATAATGATCGTCAAGGAAAAGATCAAGATGGAAAAATTCTAAAATTTATATTTTTATGCATTGAAGTCAGGCCAGGCTTCACAGCTAAACGTAATTGATTAACTTAAATCTTTTTTAGATCAACTCGATACAAGACCACTTCGAAAAAAAGGTATTATTTTCTTCAACAAGTAATATTTAGGCGAAAAATACAACCGGCTTAAATGTACATATAAAAATTTAGTAGGACCGTTAATTTCTAACTAAACCAAATTAGTATGGGACCACACATGAGGCACCAACTTTCAGATTAAAAACGAAAATGGTGGACGTGGTCATAAAATATACCGTAATATATGTACATAAAAACAGAAAATTTCCCGATGGATTGATAACTCCCTCCTCCTTTTGAAATCGGTCAAAAATAATAGTTTGTAAATAATTGAATGTCATATCTTAGGCCAGATCTTCAGTAACCAAATGTCTTTCTTTCAGAAACTCTGTTCGCTTCACACCCACTCAATTGGAAGCGATTCGCGCGGGTATGCAACCTGGCCTTACGCTAGTCGTAGGTCCTCCAGGTACAGGCAAGACAGATGTCGCTGTCCAAATCATATCCAATCTCTATCACAATCATCCAAATCAGCGTACACTAATCGTAACACATTCCAATCAGGCGCTGAATCAGCTCTTCGAAAAAATTATGGCTCTAGACATAGATGAGCGCCATTTGTTGCGTCTCGGTCATGGCGAAGAAGCCTTAGAGACGGAGAAAGACTTCAGTCGTTATGGGCGTGTCAATTATGTGCTCACACAACGCTTACAACTACTCAAAAAGGTACAAAAGCTGCAGGAATCGCTCAATGTGCTCGGTGACAACGCTTACACCTGCGAAACGGCCGGCTATTTCTATCTCTACAATGTGGTGGCACGTTGGGAGAAGTTTCTCACGCAAGCCACTGCCGTTGCAGATGCCACTGAGCCGGCGACTTGGCGTGCGGTATTCGAAAAAGAATTTCCATTCACACGCTTCTTTGCCGATGCATCGCAACCACTTTTTAAGGGCAAAACGTATGACGAATATATGGAAATAGCAAAATCTTGCTTCCGCTATATAACACATATATTCACGGAGTTGGAAGAATTCCGCGCTTTCGAACTGCTGCGCACCGGTTTGGATCGTTCAAAGTATCTGCTTGTAAAGGAGGCGAAAATCATTGCAATGACTTGCACGCATGCAGCGTTGAAGCGCAAGGAGTTAGTAAATCTGGGTTTCCGCTATGACAACATACTCATGGAGGAGTCAGCACAGATATTGGAAATTGAAACATTCATTCCGCTGCTATTACAAAATCCGCTCGATGGCTACAATCGGTTGAAACGTTGGATTATGATCGGAGACCATCATCAATTGCCGCCTGTCATCAAAAATATGGCATTCCAAAAGTACTCGAATATGGAGCAGAGTTTGTTTACGCGACTGGTGCGTTTGGGTGTGCCCACCGTCGATTTGGATGGACAGGGTCGTGCGAGGTCAAGGTGGGTGTGCTAAATTTCCGTTCTTTTAAATTGTTTGCAGTTCCATATTTTGCCCTTATCTTGTAGTATTTGTTCCTTGTACAAGTGGCGCTATAAGAAATTAGACGATCTTACGCACATTTTGGAGCGCAACGAGTATCGGCAAACAAATGCTGGATTTGTGTATGACTATCAGCTGATCAATGTGGAGGACTTCAATGGTGTGGGCGAAACAGAGCCGAATCCTTTCTTCTATCAGGTAAGAGAATTCTAATGAATTCTTGGCAGCACTGCACAGTTTTCTACGCTCTTCGTCGTTTACTGATTTCAGCACGACAGTAGACAATGCCAATTTCGAAGAGTCGTACAATTTAGCCTAATTTACAACTTACGCAATGAGGCGGAATATCTCTACTCATTTATAATCCAATTTCTTTTATCGCTTGCAAAGCCTCTAATACTTTTTTTTTGTTTTATCAATTATTGTAAATCCCAGAATCTCGCTGAGGCTGAGTATGTTGTAGCTGTTTACATGTATATGCGTCTACTGGGCTATCCCGCTGAAAAAATATCCATCTTAACCACCTACAATGGACAAAAGCATCTGATACGCGATGTCATCAATGTGCGTTGCGGTAATAATCCACTTATCGGTTGGCCATACAAAGTCACCACAGTGGATAAGTATCAAGGTCAACAGAACGATTATATACTCATATCGTTGGTGCGCACCAAGGCGGTTGGTCATTTGCGCGATGTGCGTCGTTTGGTGGTGGCGATGAGTCGTGCACGACTGGGATTGTATATTTTTGGGCGGGTGTCACTGTTTAAAAACTGTTTTGAATTGCAGCAAACATTCAAGTTGGTAAGTAAAAGAAAATGTTAATAAAAGTGAAAAGGTATTTTTTATCGTAGCTTATCTTCACTCTTTCACTACAGTTAACACAACGCCCGCAGCGTCTACAATTGCTGCCAGACGAAACTTATCCCACTGAGCGTTTAACCAACGAAGAAGTAGACCGTCAACGTATTTACGAAGTGAATAACATGACACAAATGGCGGAACATGTCTATGAAGTGTATATGAAACGCATGGAGGAGCTAAAAGATAAGCTACCAGCTGAGGGTGATTTGCAAATGTACGCAAACTTGCCACAAGAGAGTGTTGAGGAAGTGGAAGCTACACAAGCGATTGAGGAAGTTACAAATGAAATGCCAGAAAGTGATGAACCTCCTAAAAAACGTGCTGCAAAGGAAACCAGCAAGGCAACAAAAGCTGCTGCCGCTGCATTCAAACCTACGCCTATTGTTAATGAGATCGGTGAGGACGAGCCTGAAGACCAAGATGACGCCGCGGTGCAAACAGAAGCTGAGTCGCATGCTGCGCAAAAGGGAGCTGCGTCGATTGCTGTTCAAATGGAAGTTGAGTCGAATATTGCCCAAACAGAAGTTGAGTCGAATGTTGCCCAAACAGAAGTTGAGTCGAATGCTAGACAAATGGAAGCTGAGTCGAATGCTGGGCAAACAGAACCTGAATCGAATACTGGGCAAGCGGAAGCTGAGTCAAATGCTGGGCAAATGGAAGATGAGTCGATTGCGGCGAAAACAGAAAATTCTGCTATCGAAGCACCTACTGCTGATTAATAAAGTTTCAATTTTTAAGTACGACATACTAAGCTGGGAAAATACATAAACATTTTATTAGATACAAAATTATATAGATTGCACACAATTCCTTTTTCATATTGCACGAGTATAAAAAAAGCATTATTCAACATCTCACTTCTTGGGAGCTGTAATGCCTTCCAGCTGAGCCTTGAGTTGTGTATTGGTCTTCTTGAGGAAGGCGACCTCTTCTGCATATTTCTTCTCTTCGGATGTACGTAATTCTGCATTGCGACGTTCAGCTTGTTCTTGTTTGATTTTCATATCGCCGATAATTTCTTCAAGCGATTCCTTTTCAGTTTCCAATGTTTTGACACGATCGCGCAGCATTTCTTTTTCCTCGTGCGCTTGTAACGCTTTGCGCATACCAAACGCTACCGAGCTGCAGTAGAGTGTTTCATATGCTTCCATAGACATGGCGATTTCATCCCGTATGCGTAGCAGCAGCAGACCACGCTCCGAGCAATTAATGGTGACTTGACGAATTATTTCATCTATAAGAATAGTTAATGGAGTTTGGTTTGCCGCATATGTTTTCTTTTTCTTTACATACCAAAGCACTGTGTATATAACTCTCGACGTATGGGGCAGATACCTGTCTCTCGCGCCTGAGTCTGCTGCAAACGAGTATCGAGCATCTCTTGTAGATTGATGACATCCTGTCGCGTGGCTGGTGTACTTGAAACCTATAAAAGGTTAGAGATATCCCTGTGTTCCGAAATGAATCAAGCCAAAGTAACAGTCAGGGTTAAATGCCGAATTGGAACTTCGTTGCGCAAATAAGGCATTTCCATTAATTATAAATTAGAAATAAAAGGGGCTGTTGCTTTGGTTTGATGCATTTCTGAACACAGCCTATGTTATATTCCAACCTAACTTGGGAACCTCAAACATTTCGTTACAAATTTTCCTATTCTATTACTTAACCTTCCATTCCGTGAAGGTTCACTTCTCGCATTTTCTCTCGACACTCACCGTTTGTTGCCACAATTGCCCATCTTCCTCCCAACATCGTGGCGGTAATATGGAATTCAGTATCTCCTCAGTTTCGCGCTTAGTATCCAACAAAGCGCCAGCGGTTAGAGGTCTCTTCAATTCCTGCAAAAGCCACAGAATAGCAAAATTAAGGGCGGAAACAAAATGATCTTTCATAAGAGACTTACTATTTCTGTCGGCACGCCTTTTTTGTCTGGATGTTTTACTACCAGCACCGGGTTGTTATAGCGAACAAGCGTCTGGTATTGATCGACTGTTGCGACATCGACTTCCTCCATGATTTCGAGATTAGCTGCAAGATTATAATTGAAAAAAATAATTTGGTGTACAAAAGTAAAAAAAATCCGTCAGTTTACAATTTTTTTTTGTTCCTGACTTGTCTGTCTGATTTGACTTTATTTTTAAGTGTTTATTATTTTGTTTATAGCAACCGGAAGAGGAAGCCTCTAGAGGTTTAGGAATTTGAACCCACTATTTGTTGGTTATACCAAAGCAGGGTGGGGATTTACGGAAATTCCCTAGCACATCGGCATGAGTGTCACCCTGTGTCGGATTTAAATGGATTCCAATATAGAATTGTCAGTGGCAAAAATACATCGACGAAATGTACATCGATATTTTTTGATACATCGGTGGCATATATCGACGCATCGATTTGCACATGATTATTCCGATTTCCGTCATTTCAATGTTTTGGTCAAACTCAATGCTCTTGTTGAAAAGTTGAAATAGCGTTTCGATTATTTATACATTGAATAGACAATTGTCGATGCTTCGAAGCAGAACCGATATTTTCGATGCATCGATGTATTTCCAACATCTCTATTCCGTGGCCATTCTCTAATCTCAAAAAGTAATAGATTTTAAAGATTTCGCAGATCTTGAACGGGAACTACATATTTAATGCATAATTAAATGCTCCTAAACTCTTGGCAGTAATTTACATATTTAAAATTTCTGTCGCCCTAAATTTTTCGCAGAAAAATTTCAATTGTTAGGAAACGCGCACAATTGCATTTTCGGGGAGTCTGGCAATTCAATCGTAAGTGCAGCCGGGTGCCGGCAGAAGCGCTAGCAGTGACAAAACTTACCGCCGTTTTAGTAGTAAACAAACCGGATAGAAAGCAAATTTTTTAATTCTGTACAATTTGCAATAGGCTAGCTTACAAAAATGGCCTTTTATAATGAAAATCTAGGCGTAAGTAACATAAGTACGGATTTTGTACATAAATATGTAAAGGAGGCTCCGAATTAACCTCAAATTTCTGTACGCCTCCGGACTATTTTTCCCTTCCAGAATCGTATAATGGAGTTGTTTAACTATCCAATACCGGATCGCTGTTTGGAACTAACACAATTGTTTGAGCGATGCAGCCTGCGTGAGTTACAGGACATATTCCCGACAATTGTACAGTCAGTGTTTGGCATAGGTAGTGGTGGTCTTGGCTGGGGGCTGCGTGCGACCACAAAAGAGAATTCACAAATGTGTTTCGACATACTGCATGATTTTTTCTCGCCGATGGGATCTATGTTACGGTTGTGTTATCGACTGCTAAACGATGCTATTAAGTTTGAATTCAGTCTGGATTTACTGCCGGTGAGTGGTCAATAAGTTGTGCTAGGTATTTATGGTTATTGATTTTCAAAACTTTTGGGGGAATAGTACGTGCGTGTTGTAGAAAGCTTTATTGGAGTGCCTTGAAAGTTTTTTATTCGGAGCACGCACATATAATAAAGTCAATATACCAAGTTTATAGTTTATTTCACTTACAGCACAAAGTCAGCGAGATGATACAGTCTGGTCAGTATTCGCTTTTCTACGCCGACCTTGTGAACATTGATCCTTTTCGACGCCAAGTGACATCGCTTCTCCTGAACGCTTTCGATTATTATATGCTTCATTTTGTTATACATGCCACATTTCCACTGCATAAAATGTATCCAGCGGCATTGCAAGTGCACAATGAACGCATGAAAACTGTGTACTTCTTTTTAACAGCAGAATACCTTGGCACTTTTTTGCCGGACAACCCAGATGCGATCGTTTATCCGACCAATATTTGTACGTCGGTAAAGGCACCTCAACCGCTGCAACCAGTACAACCGCTGCAGCCGCAACGTTCGCCAAAATATTTGAAAATACCAACAAATACTAGTTTGTTTCAGACAGACGCCCCATCAACGTCTGCGGCAGCTGCAGCGGCTGTACAGGCCGCACGGAGCTGTGAGTCGCCGCGAACGCATTGCTGGCGTACCGAATCAGTGCTACACTTCTTCGTCGATACATGGCTGCGCTACGATATCGATGAGGCGAGGGTAAGTTAAACTTCGTACAAATAATAATGATCTTTTTAAAATATATTTCTTCTGTAACACTAAGGACCTGCCAAGCAGCGAGTTTATACGCGTTGTGCGCATACTTGTAAAGCAAGTGCACACATTCGCTAATTCGATGCACATGGATCATACTCCGATGGCGATACTTCGCAAGCTGGCTCATCCAATGATGAAAACTCGCATATATCCTTTCTTAAAAAGCATTATAGGTCGCTGGCCGCTAGACAGCTCATTGTCAGTGGTTCTAGAATTATGGCTGAGCTATATACAACCTTGGCGTTATATGTTCGATTTACAAAATACAAACCTCTAGTGAGTAATTGCGATGGGAAATTTCTAATTAATTTATTTAATGTTGTTAATCATTTCAGTGGTGGTGGCAATTTTAACGCAGCGACTAGTGCTAGTGGTATGATGCCTAGCTCCACTGGAAGTGAAACGTCCGTGAGTCAACGTTTCAGTACATTTATAGCCGAGAATTTGGTAATATACACGCAGGTCTTTGTATATATATTACCACGCTTTGAGCGACTAGATTTCACATCGTTCAGAAATGTTATTATGCTGCACAGATTGGTAAAGGTAAGTAGAAAATCTTAAATAATTAGAAGATATGTAGGTTTCTCAAGGAAGAACACGGATATTCAAGGAAGGTAGATTCGCTGAGCTTCGAAAATGTGGGATATGTATATAACATGCTAATTTTATATCAATAAAACAGCTTAAACATTTCACTTTATAGGTTTTTAACCAGCCTAATCTGCCAACAATGTTATGCCAAGCAGAGCAAGCTTACATTTGCCAACTTGGTATTGACTCGCCCAGAAAACATTCAGTTTACTCCAGGTAACAATTATATTACACATCTATAGCTGATTTATAAGCAATTTTACGTTAATAGGCACGGCAAAAATGAATGGGATGGTATGTTTCATGAAGAAAGCTATACGCCACTTTTTGGTTCAGCTGTGAAATGTGAAATCGAACAAGTAATCAAAACAGTTTGCATATCACGTTTATATGTGCTACAGGAAATCGATAGCATACGACATGATATTGTGAAACAACGTAAGTCGCATGGCTTTTTGCGTAAAATGTTTGCCAGCCTCTTTGAGGACGTCTCACCGGCGGAATTGAAATTACAAGAGATTGGTAAAATACCAGATATACTCGATTTAGCTGTGCGTTCATTAGCCAATATGTTTGATGTAAGTTTATTTTAGTTGAGGTACAGTTTGATGTGTTGAGTTAACAGGAAAATCTTCTAAATTATAGGTACGTTTGCCGGAAATAACAATGGAACAAGTACACGATCGCAGCAGTCCGCCACTAAATTTTTCTGCATATGATAGTAGTGATTATTTGGATATTGCAAAAGTAACACCAATGCAGGTGAGTGCTCAGTATAAAAAAAAAATTCGAAATTAGCTTTGGGTACCAGTAAAAAAATAAAAATACAAAATCCTTTAAAGGCAAAATTGACTGAGATCGGATGGTTTACATATTTAACCGACCTCAAAAAAGGGAGAAGGTTTTTTTTTTTGTATATAATAAAGAAAAGGTGGTGCCTCAGAGGTGGTCCCATACTAAATCGGTTTAGATCCGATGATTGGATCATGAAGAAATTGACGGTAATCTTAGATTTTTAGATGAGAATTCAAGTGGGTTTTGTTTTTTGCTTAAAAATTACGTGTATCATAAATAAATCCATTGAATACGAATCGCATTTAGATACATACAACCGACTTTCTTAAAGCATGTGCCCTTAACCGCACTGTCATCAAACATTTTTGCGTTTCCGTGACAGTCTGGTCACCCGAACGACTCAGATTTATGTCTCCCTTACCAGCATTAAACAAAAACTCTTTGGGAAATTTGTTTGCTGTTATAACAACAACATTAAAAATTTTTGCTCGGGAACGCCTTCAGTGGACAGCAATAGTCACTTAATTCAGCGGATAAGGTAAAGCTATTCTGCCAAATTTGCAACAAAGTTATGCTCAAAATTTTTGAAGAAAGAAATGCGAAGCTGACTAGTTCTCTGGGAAATCTTACAACAACAATGTCACATTCTTTTCGCTCCATTATCTCCTTTCAGTATTTTATAGATTTTATGTTGTCCCAACGCAATTTTGTTTTTCTTTTACAGATGCAAAGTAATATAGCGAATTTATCAGCGACAATCGATCCCGCCACATTACCTATACAGGATTATGAAGTGAAATTTTTAGTACGTTTTTTGCACAAAATTTCTTGTCGCTTAAATGAAATGGTAAGTAAAATATAAGCAAGTCTAAAACGGTTAAAACTTCTTCATAATTTCTTCATCTTTTCATATAGTTTGGTGAAGAAATCGAAACTTTGTGGTGTCGTCCAGATTTTGTGGGTAAATTAGCACGTCAATTACTCTACCCGCCCATGACGCAGCAATGGTTTGACAAATCAAGAGGTACACTACTTTTAGTTTTAAATATGAAGCATAAATATTTTTTTATTTTTTATTATTAAATACAATACATTAAACAACTAAAACTACACATATAAATATATATACTATATATATAAAATTATTCACTTAATAACACTTATACATTTTAAGGTGTCAGTGAATTGTGTGAGGAACGTCTACCCGCCCGTATCTGCTTGCGTCCGTTGGCTTCTTACAAAGTTTTGGGACTTATCATATTGTCCATGCTTCTCGGCTACTCACTGTGGCATGCGCCTATTTACGGACTACTAATTTTTATACTAATATTTCTTTTATATATAACTATACTAGCTTTATGTGTGTAATTTGTATATTATGTAGCTATATATAATTTTATTATTGTCCTTATTCTCCTTTATATTTGAAAAATTTATTAACACTGTGTGTGTTTAAAATCTAAAGTGAGTGCAAAGAATATTATATCGTCGTTTAAAGTACAAAACCGCGTATCGTCATTCTGCAAAACCACGTAACTGACATTTGCTGCCAAAAATTGGATTTGCTCACACATGCTCTTGGCTCAATCCTTATGCACTCGTCCCAAAATATACTTGCCAGTAATGCGATTAATTAAAAAAAAAAGGGAATCATTTTGAAATATGAGGGTTTTTACTATCTAGAAAATAATTTATGCAACCTCACATACGCGGTTTCGCATTATCGTGATACGCTGTTTATGCATTTTGTTGATACGCAGTTTTGTACTTTAAACGACGATGTACAGTATTGGTCATATCTATTGCACCACCCCCGCTTTTCAAAGTGATATTGTTTGCCACATATGTTTAATAATTTATTTTTTTAAATTTTCAACTAAAATACAGTTTATTCTCTAAACAAAAAAAAACCCAAGTTTAAAAGACAACAAAAATAAGAGACAATTTTTCACCCAAATTTCAAACTTTTTTCTCAGAAGTGTTAGAATTTTTTCGAGTACACGGTTTTATGGCCCCTTCAATTTTAGTCTGATAATGTGCAAGTTTCAACTGGCTAGAAATTAACGTTGATTTTTTAGATTTTTTTTTTGTCGCATTTGCTTCCATATAACGAACAAGTACAATTTATTTTTATATGGAAGAAACACGGTGCACTTTCTGCAAAAAAAAAAATCTAAAGAATCAACGGTAATTTTTAGCTACTTGAACCTTGCACTTTATTAGAGTAAAATTGAATGGGTTATAAAACTGTGTACTCAAAGAAATTCTAACTCTTCTGAGAAAAAAGTTTGAAATTCGGTTGAAAATTTGTAAAATTTTTTTGTAGTCTTCTACAAAGTTTTAAACTTGGATTTTATTGGAGAATGAATAAATAAACATGAGCGGCAAACAATATCACTTTGAAAGGGGGGTGCCATTGTATTGACCGATACTGTATATGTTAGTATATATATTTGTTTGTATTATGTATACTATCTAAGGCTATGCGATGTCACGAAGTTTTATTGCCAATCTTAATGGCTGCTCGGGCACTGTTACCAGTCGTAGTTTACAGTCAATTGGTGTGGCGTTATTGCATTGCAGCTGAAAGTTGCTTATAACCTGAAAAAAAAAAATACCGAAATGATGTGAAATTTGGTCATAGAGAATTTACAAAAAAAGCATTCAAATTGACTTACCGCCGCCAGCAGGCAATGCATTTGCTTCATGGCCATTCTGCGTCCAATGCAGGAACGATTGCCAATGGCAAACGGTAGTGAGCCATGCGCTTGCAGCACCTCCTGTAATTCACCAGTTTCTTCGTTGCGTTGCCAACGTTCGGGCTTCGCTACCTCTGGATCTGGGAAATGTTCCGGCTTACGGCCAGCAGTGTATAAGGAAAGCAGCACTAAGCTCTGCAGTTAAGGAGATATAAGTGTACTATAATTAAGGAGTTCAAAACACTTGAGAGATATATATACTTAAATAAATCTGAGAGAATATTGGACGAAAGTAAAACTATTTTGGCTGTTTAATTTACGAAAATAATCTAGTGGAAGGGAAAAAAACTTACAAACGAATTAAGTTAGAAGGTAATAATTTTATAGTAAATTTCAAAAAAGCAAGCTAATTGACTGAATATGCATTTTTTTCATTACAGTATAACAGAAAAAATTAATTTATTTTAATGTTACAGCAGTCCTAAAAACGCATTAAAGGCTTAGCACGCTTGGCTGAAGGCTCACCAAAGCAAATTTTCAAATTTTCACTATTGCAACTATATACCTACATATTGGAGCAAGAACTATTAACCATTAAACATTCAACTAACATCTCTTCACATGCAGGTATCTAAATACTATTATTTATTTATATTTTTTTTTGAATTTCTAATTATTTACTTTACATACATTTTTCTCGATTTGATAGCCGCCAATATTCGCTTCACACGCCATATAGCGTCCAATAAATGGTGCAATCGGATACAAGCGCATTGTCTCCTTAATGAGACCATGTACCAACATATTGCCGCGCCCATCATTGGTAGCCATTTCTTTGGCTAAGCGCTCTTGCATTTCCTGATTCTGGGTAAGTAGATAAAATGCCCATTCAGTAGTGTACGCCGTCTGTGGGAAGAACATTTATTTTTTAAATACATATTTGATAGCAAGAATGTGTGTAGAAAAAATATTATATTTTTTTTCTAAATAGGAAACCTCTGTTATATTATGTATCTAGAAAATGAATATAATGATTCCTATGTGCGTATGTGTGCATATAACAATGCGAGCAGATAACCAACCAAGTTAAGGGCACATACATTTTAATTTTTTAATTTTGTAAAAAGCTTCAGACTTCGAAAAAATTTTAAACTTTGATTAGTAATATTTTTGCGTAGGAAATTCCTTTCCGGGGTTGTAAACGTAAATTGTAAACATTTACATAAGTCAGAAGTGGAATGAAAACTATAAATACCCTCCTATAAACACGCCAGGAGGCATTTTTGCAAATCGGAATAAAATCCAAAACTTTAACTCGTATAGAATACGGATCTTCTCCAGGCTAATTATAAAATTGTATAAATATACCCTGACTGAAGCAATCGCTGAATTGGCGATATTTTTTTTTTGATATTCATAATGTTTTCCAATATAACATTTTTTTGTTTGTTATTTTTTATAAAAATATTATTCATGTTTTAAACTATATGCAAATTTTAGAAAAAGTCAATAAATTTGCATCAAAATTTCGAACTCCTTTATCTGAATGTTTATAAAATTTTCGGGTATACAGTTTTACTTTAGTTTGTATAGAAAATTGCATTTTTGAAGCAGCTAAGAATTCGCTTTGATTAAAATTGTTTTTTTATCTACCGGTGTTTTGTAAAAAGGCCCTAACACATTTTCTTTCGAAAATCAGCTTTTACAAAGGCCGGTTGACTACTCACTAAAGGTCTAATAGAAATTGAAAACACCTTCTAAATCAATAAATTAGTTTCAGTGTGTATTTAGCCAAGGACTTTGAAGAAATTCCCAAGTTAAGAACTTAGTTTTTATGCAGTTTTGTAACTACTCTATAAAAAAAACAACAATTTTAAATAGGACCTTGCTATACTAAGGTACATAAAACTGCATACCTAAACAATTTTTAAAAATTAAAACTGAAAATTCCGCAATTTGGATGAAAGTTTTTTACAACTTTTCTATATAGCACGAACAATATTTTTATAAAAAAAATAAATTTTAACTTCAAAAGGTTAGGTTATGTTAGAGTGACTGTCACCGCGCAAAGGATGGAGGCACACGCAGGCTGGCTAGGACCGTTTGGTCACCAATGACGGAGACCATTTGTTTCTTCCCCAAGCATAATAATTTAACCACCGAGTGCGCTTTATATGGCACAAAAATTGAGAATGTACGCTGAGTTCAGGTGGGCTAAGCAATCTAAAAATCGATTATTGAAGAAGTGGTTGTGCATTTTGGTAATGGCGGGATAGTGGCCGAGATGATGGGCTTCATGCATAAAAAGTAAGCTTATGGTCAGACTCAATTTTCTTGTACTGATGGAGTGAGCTCAAGATCAAGAACTTTTAATGCATGAGGCCCAATGTTTAATGCTCCCCACCTCGTCGCTGCAGCTGCGGAAAAAGTCATTGGTTGGGTATCCCAAACTATTTCCGTGCGTGCAGTTTGCGGTGATTACCCAAACTACTAGCCTGAGAGAAGAGCGGTCGAGTCGAGAGAGGGCAATGTTGTGGCCATATTTGCCAGGCAGTAAGGCAGGTGGTTTCCAGAGCGCACCTGGTATTTACCTCCCCGATGAGTTCGGCTTTAGTCTGTGTTTGCAGGAGGTTAGAGATATGCCAACATAGAGGGATATATCCGTCCCTCTCCTCGCCAGCTCGTCGGATATGCAGTTGCATGGAATGTCCGTGTGCAGGAACATTTTGATGCCAGCAGGTTGAGAATCCTTCTGCATTATATGGCTACTTTGGAAGTTGTTACGTTAGATCTTAGAGTTTTAATAGCAGCTTTGCTCTCAGAATATATAGTTAAAGGCCGTTCTGTAGAGGCGAAAGTTATGAGCCACCGAACTGTCTCCATTATGACGTTTAGCTCTGCTTGAAATACGCTACCATAATCCGTTAAGCAGAAACTGAGGTTTAGTGCGAGTTAAGCGGAGTAAATCGACCCTGAGTTCAGGCCTATGGCACCTTCCCATTCGTTCCTCTGGGGTTCTTAGGGATAATTTTTCCCCTAAACAGATTAGAGGAGTGGTATAATCTAGTTTTCGTTGATTGTAGTGTAGAGTTTCAAGGACATGCGTGATGGGGTCTGAGGTCTCCTCACGGCTGGATCGTATTTATGGAAGCACTTTAAAAACTTTGGGAACCGCGTTTCAGTCACTGCAACTTTTTTCAATTCTATACACTATGAATTTTGTAGCTCCCGACGAAATTTTCCGGCTAAATTTTTCGTAGAAAGCAGCAAAACTTTTTCATTAAGAAATGGTCTGAGAAGCTAGAATAATGTATTAAATGCAAGAAATCAGCGTAACAGATTTTTTAAAAATTTTGCCGGTTGTAAACAATTTCGCAAAGAAAAAGTAAACGTAATAAAAAAGATGCCCCGACCTACCTAGGAGAAGGGGGAAAGTCAGAAATTTAAATCGTCGGCAACGGAGAGGCTAATCGACTTTGCATCGAAACGGAACGTGGTACCCTGGATCATGCACTAGTATCGAATAATCCATCTAGGTGTCCCGCGACCAAATAAAGAAAAACCAAATTGTTCGCATTTGCGATAGACGGAAGATACTCTTCAACCGTTCTTGACTTGCATTCCATTCGAAGGGCCACGTCGCCAAGGCATTTTGTGCAATAAAGAAAAGTGCGTTAGGAGCAGCGCGCCGAAAGTTCGATGCCTACAAGCTGCAGAAAAGTTGCAGCGAATTGAGCGCGGCCTCATCGAGCGATAACGGGAGGAGAGGAGGGAAGAAAGCCATATTTTCAAGAGGAAGAAAATAATGGCAGCAAGATGCGAGTACAAAGAGGTTGAGAAATTTCTTTCTGAATATATGGAAATATGGGAATAGTTTCGGCAAAGACGAAGCTGAACGACAGTGGGGTCTACCTAACCGGAATGACTCAAGACTTATATCTGGCCAAAGACTGTCACTCCAGCGGCACTCCCCAAAAACGATTTGGAGAATTGTAAGCTGTTACAAGAACATGGAAATTTGTTAAGAGCGTACAGAGTACACTTGAGATGTGAGGGAGGGGTCACTTCTCAACGCCTTTGAGTGGCGACCTAATGTGTAGGGACAGCAATGATGCGGTCTATAAGACCTAGACGGGTTTTTCATGGCCCTCACAGCTGATTCGGCTGACGAGAATAACATATTGGGTCGCTTGGAGATTGCTGGAGTTCTCGAGTCAGATGAACCCTTTTTGGGCCAGTTGCTGAAGTTATCATCCCGTTTAGAGGAGGGTACCCGTAGAGTGTCTAGAATCTTTAGATGTTTACTCCATTACCAGGGGGGGGGGGGGGGGGGTAAGGTTGAGGTGCTGACCGCTCCACTAAATTTATAGCCACCACAAAAAGACAGATCCCTCTGTTTTTGTCAGTTACCACGGCTTCCTTAGTATTACATTCAATTTTCAATACAAGGTTTTGTTTCACAATTTCTACAAAAGAAATTAATAACAGGTACTGTAGCGCTTATGATCTTTATAATAAAAATCATAATTTAACCGTTAAAACTGGATTTCTAGTCTTCCGATCAATTTTAGGTCGTTATTTTTGGATTTTTATTTTTGCAATCGTACTATGACCCTTATTTTCAAATTTAAATTTTTAGATCGTAAAAGATATCAATCGGTCATAGAAACACAGTCTCCATCATAGGGGTTAAAAATGATCGAAAAAAATAAAAATCGCAAAGCAACGATCAAATTTGACCGAAAAATAAAAACCTAAATTTAAGGGTTATTCTTGATCGAAAATACAAATAATAAAATAACGATTTTAGAATGATCTTAAAATAAAAAAATATTGTTATTTAACGGTTATTTTCGGTCCCTGGTAACTAAAAAAAAAAAAAACAATATACTAACCGTATCGCCCGCTGCAATCACCAAATCCACAAATATACGCTTGATCATATCAAGCGGCATACCGGCCAATATAAGCTTCTGGAAGAGTGCATCGCCACCACAATCATGACACTCGGTGCCAACTTTTTCGCACAATCTATTCACCATAGGCGCTGGCAAATCGACAAATTGTTCGATTAAAATATTGCCTTGCTTCAGCACTGCCTCCACGCTCTCCTCAAAATCACGCCAAATACGCATGTTCAAACGCTTTGCCAACTGTGGTGGAAAAGTCATCAGTGCAGAGCTGGTATCGAATATTCTGTGTACTATGCGCGAAAACTGGTCCATCGTCGCAGCCATGCGCACATCTTCTGCAGCGGAAACGCCAAACATTATCGTACAAACAACTAAGCGGGTTAAATGAAATGCAACGGATTAAATGAAATGCTGGGAAATGCTGCTATTTCCATTTCGTCAACCCACCATCGATGGCCCAGGTATAAAGCTGATGTTCCAGTTCCAGCAGTTCAATGTAGGCGCATTGTGCGGCAACTGCGCTAGCCTGCGTCTTCCACAAATTCACCAAGCGCATCGTGGACGACTCGATGTGCGCATCCATCCACTTCATGGTGCCGCCCAATAGAAAACGATTTAGTATGCGTCGATTGTGTAGCCACTCGGCGCCCTCCCTATGCGATTACCATGCAATGGATAAATCAAAGTGTCAATGAAATTCATAAAATATGTACACATACATACATATGTAATGTATGTATGTATGTATGTATGTATTTTAGCGGAAACCAACAACTGTGCAAGATCTTGTTAGCCTTTCGGTTTTACTTGCTTGCAACTCACATGAAGAATAAACCGCGTTGGCAATTGTACTGCTTGTTGTATATGATCCAAGACTCTGGTAGCGGATGTCGTGGATATTGGCCCTCGTATTGAAACACTGCTCGCATTTGACTTGCTGATGAAACAAATACGGCATCCTGCACGCCGCCTAGGCGTTCGTAAAATATGGAACCAAGTTCTTTATGACGCCGATGAATGTATTTGTGTAATCTATAACGATAAGAACAAAAACAATTTATGTTAAATGCTACATATAACCCAGTAGATGAACAATGTAGTAGGCAGGTACGTTAGTAAGCCTGAGCTCGTTTTTTTTTATATAAAGTTTAATGAACCTACTATTTGAATTTTCTGCTGCAGCTTTGAAAAAAAAAAGTTGTAAAAAGCACAAAGATTCAAATTTGAAAGCGAAGATTCAAATATTCATTAGCCCAAAAAAAAAAGCAACTGCAACTGTAAAGAGTCAGATGAGTGGATTTCAAAGCAAAAAAGTGGAAACATCAGCCAAACTAAATTAGCATTCTAGCGCACCATTTTGAATTTTTAGAAAACTTAAGTGAATATATGTATGTATGTAGATACATATGTACATATATGTACATACATATGTATGTATTGCACTTGAGAAGAGTAAATATTTTTGGCAAAGGAAATTCAAACTGACACAGACAATTTGAATTGACCTTCATTAGCACCGGATCCAGATATTTTAAAGTCAAGTTCATTCAAGGAGAGAGCAAATTAAAATTCACAAAATCTTGAAAAGTGTATGCTGAAGGTTGAAACAACTTGCCGACAGCTTGAATGTGAACGGGATTCGAAGTTGTTGCCGAAAATTGAATGACATTGTGATGGATGCTAATATAGTGACTCACACTACTTCACAATATGTTTCAAGTAAAATCTTAATTTTTTTATTTTTTTTTTATAAATAACTATATAAATCAAGGTTTCAAACAATTTTTAGCCACTTGAAACTTACACTATCTTGTACCATAATTTTATAAGCTGTAAAGCTGCATACTTAAATTAAAAAATCGAAGGTTACCACCTCTATTTATATATATATTTTTTTATAATTCAAAAGAGAAAAATTGCATATACCTGACCCAAGGTTTATTCGATGGTAATTAAATAACATTTTTTATTAAAATAGTTTTCAATAGGTGACTTTCCTCGTTTAGACATTTCCGTTTTAAAGCTATTTTAGTTCTCTTTCATTTTACACCAGACTTGTTTAATTAGGATAAGCGGTTTGTTTATTATTAGGATAGCACTTTTATTTCGGCCTTAAAAAATATTTGGCAAAGTTTAACCGTTAAAAAAAAGCACTGTTATTTTCGCTTCCTGTTGTTAATTAAAACCAGAGATTCTCTTAAATATATAGTGCTAATTTATCATAACTTAACGACACTCACATATTGACAAGATTTGACTACATATTTATTTTATTAGTTTTTAATCTTAATTATTTGTTTATAAAAATATAGTTTATTCTTTAGCCAAAACTGTATAAATCCATTTTTAAGTTTTTGTGTAACATTTAAAAAAATCTACAAACCTTCGTAAAAATTTTGAGCTATTTATTTATTTTTTTTTATTTTTTTTTTTTGAACATTTTGAGCATGCAGTTTTATAGCCTATTCAATTTTAGTACAATAAACAACGCGTTTAAAGTAGTTGCGACCATTGATTTTTGGCAATTTTTTTTTAACGACGTCAGTCATTTTCTTCCATAAGAAGTATGTTTGACGATGTTTTTTTATATGGAAAAAATTCGTTTTGGAACTGGCTGCCGAGATAGATCGATCTTCCACTCAACAGTCGATATTTACTTAGTACATGCATACATACATATTAGGAATGTTAATCTCGAGATCCCGTTATCCCGGGATCCCGGCCTTTTTTAAGTCCCAAAAATTCCGGGATGCTTGGCAAATAATACCGGGATGCTTGGCAAATAATACCGGAATTTTCGGGATTTGTAATTTGCACTGAATATTTTTTATATAAATGTCTAGCTCATTATATATATAACTCCGTGTGATAGTAAATATTATACACAAAAATGAATATAACGCGAAACCATGGACCAAATATAGTAGAATTAAGTTTTTAACTTTTCACTCTAACGTCGAAAATTCAAAAGTGAAATTCAAAAGTGAAATATGCTTAGAGAAGAAGTATGGGTATCAAATTAAAGAGGAAATTCTGTGGAATTTAATCAGATTCAAATTTTTGGTGCATAAGGGCTGGTAAGTTTTGAAAATGTTCTTTTAAAATTTTATCCTAGAAATTTCGCAATATATGTTTTTGAAAAAAATTATATGTTATGGACGTATATAAACTCCATAAAATCTTCGAATTTCATCCTCTTAACTTTATCAGCTTAAAAAATTACCTATTCGTCCTTGTGAATCCAAAAAATTTTAGTTTTTTTAAATTCTAAAAAAAATTTCCTGACGTCAGAGAGAAAAACAAAAACGCCACTTTAAATAAAAAAGTAGGTTTCAAACCCATTTATTTATTATTTATTTTATGGTAGGAGAGATAGAAGCAATTTTTTCGTATTAAGTTGTTGAAAAGTAACGAATATCCAAATCCCGGGACTAATGCCGGGATTGTGGTAACGAAATCCCGAAAATCCCGGGATCGTAAAAAGCCAAAGAATTAACATCCCTAATACATATAGTCCCTTCAAGGCCAATTATTTGATGATATTCATGAGAAAGTTTACTTGTTTGTGTACATACATTTACATGTTTACAATTTTACAAATTGATCCCACGTACACATGTACTGCATTTAGCATAAATATGTATGCACATATTTTCAGATACACTGAAACAGATATTCTAAAAATAGGGCGTTTTTGAAAAGTTTTCTGAGATAGGGCGTTTTCGAACTGTCTGCCGAGATAGGTCGATCTGCTACTCAGGTATCGATATATGAGTAGTCCACTTGCAAAGTGCGCTATGTAAATTTTTTGTATTTAAAGTAGTTTCATGTCCACTAACAATACAGTGCAAAATCCTTGCATATTCTGAAATAAATAAAATTATAGTTTAAAAAACTAAAACCTCGCTCTTATATTTCCATTCGTACTGTCATAAAGTATGTAACTTAAGAATAGAAATCGCTGAATCTTTTAGGCGCATCAATATTACATAGTTACATCCCGAGCTAATAAAAGGGAGGTGAAAAATAGCATCAAATGTTATCTACTCTAGCAAAAGTCGCTATAATACTTACTGTATGTATATACACTTTCAAAAGTCGCTATAATATTTATTGTACGTATTTATATAACTTCAAAAGCCTCCATCTTCTGACGAAACTTAGAAAACTGCAAAAAAACGTGGTAGTTTCGGTGCTTTCGGGGGAAGACGTCTTAAAAAAGAAGCAGACCAACAACGTTCATGGAAGAGAGAACTCGAAAAGCTTAAAAAAGCTGGCTATATATAACTTACTGTTTCTGGCTGCTGCTGGCTATATATCGTCACTACACACGAATAAAGGCGCGCTAGTGTTTTGACGCCAAAAAAAGGCGCATAAAAAATTTTTGCGAAAAAAGATTCTTATGAAAAACTTCGGCGAAGTATGTTAAGAGTCTTTGACCTATGCTATGCGTATTTTTTCGCCGTCAACTTTTGAGTTCGCCCCTTTATTCGTGTCTAGTGACGATATGTATTAGCGTGCTTTTTTTCAGCGACAATTTTTTTTTAGTCGCACCTAGATATTATGTGGGAAATAACTAAAAACGAGTTCCCGGAAAATTTGAGCCCTTATTATTAATATTACATATTAAGTGCTCGACCAAGGTATGCAAATATTTCCCGCCCTATAGCTCAGAGCCATTTTATGGTATAATCATGGCCAATTATGGGTTTCTTCAGAATTGAATGCTCTACAAAAGTGTCCATTGCGGCATAACTCTAACTCCCACCAGCGAGGTAATACGAGTCACTAAACCCAATATTTTCATGAAATTCCCGTTTTTTTTACCCCTATCTCGTAAATACCAACAGCAACAGAATCCATGTAAATGACAAACCTGTAGGCCATTAAATTTCCTACAAAAAAATTCCAAATCGCTTATATCGATATTTCTTGAGATTTTGGGAAGAAGAGATATTACTTAAAATCGAAAGAAATAGCTACACAAAACATTTAGCTGTTAGGTGGTACGGGGATCGTTTTTTCTTTTTTTACTTAACAATAATAAAAGCTTGTCTTAAAAAAAGACTTTTTTTTTTAATTACTTGTTTTTCTTTTATTTCTTTAATGTTTATTATTCTGTTTTTTTATAAAAATGCAGCTCCTTATCTAAAGAAAACAATGTAAGTCTAAATTATAATACTTAGAAAAATTAAAAAAAAAATTCCAAAACAAACTTTTTATTAGGCATTTACAAAAAAATCATAAGTATGTAGTTTTATAGCCCATTAAATTCGCGTAGTGTAGTTTTATAGCCCATTAATTCGCGTATCTTCCATAATATGTATGTTCGACAATTTCTTTGTGTGGAAGAAATTCTCCTCTTGAAACTTGCTCTTCATTAAGCTAGAATTAAATGGGCTATAAAACTGCATAATTATAATTTTCCCAAAAAATCTTACTAAACAGTTTGTTGCTCAACATTTTTTTGAAATTTTCATTTTTTACAAAGTTTGAAATTTAGACTTATACTCTGTTTTTGTTAGCTAATGGGCTGCACTTTTATAAAAACAAACAAAAGCCAAATATCCACAACTGGTCAAAAGTGGTGTGCCCAAATTTTTTTCACATTACTATGTAAGTATGTACGTACATACAGTGAGGGTCAGTCAAAATCGTACAGTACATTTTTTTTTCATATTTTGAAAATACGTTGTTTTATTTAAATTTTAATAATTTCTAATAAAAATATAGTTCATACTACAAGAAAATCCATAAAACTCAAAGTTTTTAACTTTGTAATAATTATAAAAAAAATCGTCAAATTTTTATAAAAATGGCGCACTTTTTATTCAGAATTTTTAGTTTGAAGTCGCTACAAAATACCACTGTTTTTTGGCAATTTTTATTTTTTTTTTGTTGACGGTGCTGCGCATTTTCTTTCATATAACGCATGAACAAAATCTAATTTTATATGGAAGAAAATGCGCAGCACTGTCAACAAAAATAAAATTTGCAAAAATCAACGGTATTTTGTAGTGACTTCTAAGTTA